GTACCTATTTATATTTTTAATGTGAGATACTATACTACTATAAATCCGCAAGTCTGCCTCGTTGGCAGAGCGACTGCTGGGCAACGGGTCGCGGGTTCGATGCCCGGGTTGGTCAAAGTATTAAAAATTCTCTTAGAAGCACGGAGTCTAGAATTGTGCCCGGTACTTGGCTATAGACTCATCACCCCCTACATGGGATTCATAACATAAATAATTAAAAGTGAATGTTACATTGTACAATGGCATTAAGTGCTGTAATGTGCACGTCTGCCTATCTCTTCGGGGATAAAAGGCGTGATGTTATGTATGATTCTATAAAATTGTCTCACTAATTTAAAGGACACTGCTTTATTAACTACTTTAAATTCCATCACTAGTTTTTGGCAGAAAATCAACTTTCCCTTACAAAGTTGCAAAGTAACAAGAGACAATTATCTATGATGGTAAAATTGTGACAAGTATAATGAATGTCTAGAGTAGATTATAATTAACCCTCTCAGTACTACGGTCACGTTTAACGAAATAATATTTAATAATTATGCACAATATGCGTGATGTTACAGCAGGGACGTGGGACGATGTACGGATGGCAGAATAACGTTGCAAGTACCTATTTAGTTTAGTTAAATAAGCAGCTAATTTATATTGTATTAAGATTCATTTTGGGATTTTTTTCTTGAAATATACTGGGACGATGTGCAGACTTTTTTTTTTTAAACGTTGCCCCACACTAGGATTTCCTCCTGTGTCGTGGGTGCGTTTACAAACATACAAATTCACATACACATGACACCCAGACCCGGAACAACAATTTGTGGATCACACAAAGTCTTGTTCCGTGCGGGAATCGAACCCGCGACACGTTGCGCGGCAGCCGGTTGCCCAGCCAACGCACCAACCGTGCAGTCAAATTGCTGTGTAAGACTGCAGCGTAACGTTACAAGTACTTATTTATTTTAGGTAAATAAGCTGCTAATTTATATCGTACTAGCGATCCGCCCGATCCGGCTTCGCACGGGTGCAATATGCATGTATTATACATATAAATCTTCCTTAAGAATCACTAAAAAATCTATAAAAAAACACATCAAAATCCGTTGCGTAGTTTTAAAAATTTAAGCATACATAGTGATAGACAGACGGCTGATAGCGACTTTGTTTTATAATATGTAGTGATTAAGATTCTTTTTGGAAAATACTTTTTTTAAAAGATGGTTCAAAATCTCGTTGTGAACTCCTGCGGATAGTTTTTGATGATAAAAGGTTTAGCACTCTGTCTTTGTTTCTTCTTCTTAGTCGTTCTCTTCATTACTGTAGGTCGTGTCTAGTCTGGTGCACGCGTCACTTGATGTATAACCCTCCTCCAAGCGCCCCTGTCCTCTACTGTATTTATGGCTTGTGGAACTGTCAGGCCAGTGAGGTTTTATACAGCATCTAGCCAACGGGTAGGTGCACGACCACGAGGTCTTTTCCCGTTAAACTGACCAACTACCACAAGCTTCTCCAGAATGTTGGGGCCTGTCTTTCTTTGGCCAATCTGATTACTTATGTGCTGAAATATTCATTAGCTTCTGGAATAAATAAGCAGTAGGTTCTTTCCATTGGGAAAATCTTTCCGTATTTCAATAAACCGCGCGTCTTTCGCTTATTTCTTGAACTTCCTAAACTACGTAATTAAATAAGAATACTAAACTCATAACTGAAACAATTTAACTGCCTTCAAAACAAAAACAAAACATTTAACCTAAATCTAAGCAAATATTACTCATCTATAAAAAAGAACATCAAAAAACCTCAAGTATTTCGCAAAAACCGTTTAAAAAGTTAACAAATCTACAGTAATATTTAACTATGATAGTTAACGTAGCAATTAAAACGCCGTACATACCGATACACATAGTTAAATAAATTGGGTATGGTAATCGTTTTGTTGACGGTACATCCGCGCGCCGTGGGAATTTTGTAAACGACGCGTGGTACACGACTGAGATCTCGGTGCGTATGTGCTGTGGGGGAACTTAGAAGTTTGATACTTTAAAGTATTACTAGGTATTTGCCCGTATATCCCCAAGCGGTCACCGGTGACCGCTCTCCACTAACTACATTATAGACCTTATTTCCAATGTTTAGAGACTACTTTTGTATGAACTAATTTAGGGGATGATTTTCAACAGTTTTCAAAAGGATGGTTTTGAGATCTTCTACAAGCACGATCGGTCTCTAACTAAGCTGTTCAGCAAGCTTCTTTTATAATATATGGGTAGAGGTAATTTTTTTTACAAGCAAGTGCCTCATTGGCCGAGTGGTCGCAAGTGCGACTGCCGGGCAAGGGGTCTCGGGTTCGATTCCCGGGTCGGGCAAAGCAATACTGGGTTATTAAAAAAAAAATCTCAGTAGTAACACGGAGTCTGGAATTGTGCCCGGTATAATATGGCAATAGGCCCACTATTACATGGGACTCCATGAATAGTGAAAAGTGGGTGTTACATTGTACAGTGGCGCTAAAGTGCCGTAATGTGCACCTCTGCTTTGACAAAAGGCGTGTAAGTAGTTATGATCTAGTCAAATTCACTAATGACCAATTCTACCACTTAACCTGCCACGCTTAAACATAGACAGTCACAATACAGCTCGCATGCTAAGCTTGTCATTAACATTACTCGTTTACATACTTGAATGGGAGATGTGATATCTTTTACTCATGTGTGGGCGTCACACCACGGCTACCGGTCTTGAAATTCGTATTATTAATGAATTAAAATACACTGAACTGAATACCAATGAGGTTCTGCTAAAATTTACTACCTAAGTTGGTATTTCAAATATTTTGGCACCAATTTTATGTTATTTCGTGTTATTAAAATGCTGGAATGTGATATGTGATATCGAATGTTACGCAATTTAGTCTTTAACCTTCATTTCCTGATCTATAAATTATTTGGCTGCTGCGCAGAAATAATCGGTCACTAAACTCAACCGAACTAGACTAAAACGTGGAGATCAAAAATGCCTAATTTTTATTTTAATGTCCGTCTGGTAGATTATTTTAAATCATTAGACACGTATTTTTTATTTTCTTACAGAAACGAATACTTTCGACGATATATTGATTTGAAATGTCGCGTGACGTCACTTCCATGTACATTTTATACGTAGAAATGACGTTTTATCCCCCACTCGTGTCGCGGAGAACCTAACGGGTAACTGGGGCTCCGGCTCGACGTGCAGGAGAAGGAACGGGGTGGTTTTTAGTCAGTAAGAGTCTGACACTCCCTTCCGCCTCACCCAGGCGGGAGCAGTCATTCGATGATTTTACCACTTAAAAAAAAAATCCCCCACTCGTAAAATTTGATTCGTTTTATCTAAGTATTATTTTATTATACAACAAAATAAAAAAATACGTGTCTAATATATAATGTGTATGCGAACTTGTATGTTTGTAAACGCACCCACGACACAGGAGAAAATCCTAGTGTGGGGCAACGTTTTTTTTATTAAAAAAAAATAAATAAAAAATACATATATTTTCATTACCTAACTAACGGATTAAATAGATTTTTAATTTTCATACCCGGGCATCATACCAATTATGACTATAAAATCATCAAGAATGTCACATTGATCTAATGATCAAAATCGACTTCAACTTTATAAATATCGCATTGTTATTCCGATTATAAGCACATGTGAAATACTCAGTGTTGTCACGAACCCTTCTTCTATTCTATCTTATAAGAACCTATATCAGAAACCACCACATAGACCGCCTTCTCACCATTCAAGCGATGTAAACACTCCCTAGGACTAAAACCTCATTATTTTTATACTCGTTTGATAAAGTTCCGTAACAAGCCTTACATGTACGCGTATTGCATCCCACTGACGGATGTCCTCCGTACCCCGTTACTAACGGATAGGGATTTAGGCCACAACGGTCCATGCTCCGCACTTATTATAATGCTGTACCATAACCGTTTTATAGGAGGAATCAACGAGGTAATTGATAGATTTATATTTAAATGAAAAGTGTTATGCGGATAGCTAGCCATCTTTTGCTTAATCTGTCAAACACCAAGCGGTCACCGGTGACCGCGACCTATTGTTCTTTAATTGTGTCTATAAAACCGGTACTCGACGAGTTAACAGGAGAAAATGAGAAGAAAATTATTTAGTTCATGAGTTTAAGAAAAAAAAAATTATTTAGTCATCAGGCAGAGAACTTTTCCAATGTCCTGAGAAACAAACAAGCTTCACCGACTGATAGACAGACTGACGGATAGTTCTGACTTCTATTCGCCGTCTCCAATAAAATATATCTATCAATCGCAAATAAGCCCTAGAAATAGGTCATTTGGTCGTTAGAAACAGTTTAGTTCAAATCCCTTGGTCAATATTTTGCACAACTCTCAATTTCACAATCCCAATTCATTTACTGACCAGCATCGCGGCATAGCGTAGTTACTTACTCACTACATACAAAACTAACTTTCTCATAGCCATGGCGTACCATTCATAAAGTATAATTATTATTTACTGAATGAAAACCACAGGAAATGGGCTCCTCTCGGCCGCGACCAATTGCAAGCCTATACGGTTACGTCAATATCGCTATTACGCGAGGCTTTGGAGAATTGTAGCTGAGATGCGTGTACGCAGCGGTTTGTAAGGGCGAGACACAGGGAACTTATTATGTTCAATGAACTTATGTGATTTAGGAATATTGAATTGTATAATTTGAAAGTGATCGACATTTATAAATGTTTACTAATGCTTTTAATGTGACCCTAAATGATTACTCTTCTTAAAAGAAGTTCTTCTAGAAACGTTAAAACCGACCCGAGTAAACAAATCTCGGAAAATGCTAAGTAATTTATTTACTTCGGTCTTTATTCATTTGCGTCGCAGAAGCTTTACATGAAGGGCTGACTGCCCTGACCTGTGCCTTTATGAAACTTTAACTTTATGTAGAAATCCGACAGTTGAGAAACAAATCTGTTGCAATGTATTGGTGTCGCCTGTGGGATTGTGACCTTCCACCGACAGTGGGTGGGTAGGTGTCGCGAAATTTGTAAATATGGAGATGTGCATATGTCGCAAATTCCACAAATATGCAAGTCACAGACCATGGTGCTACAATCCCACTCAGTGAGTCATTGTGTCGAAACATTTACTTTAATAACAACATTGTTACATTCGACTCACGCTACAGCGACCCCCGAGTAATTAGAGTACAGTGTGGCACCAGCCTTACATTCCAATCACGCGCACACTAACAAAAATCGTTTGTTTTTATCTTCAACCTCAACCAAATTCCGTACCAACAATTATAGTATGTGTATTTCCCGTTACAAAATGATATTATTTTTTTCGTTAACATTCTTAGCACGGCCGCGTCGAGTATCTGTGTCTACAAAAAGCTCCCTTATTTACTTGACAAATACGAGCGTAGTGGGACCAGTGGGCAAGATCACAAGATGTCTTGCGGACGTGACCAATTGGACCGGATGCACGGCCGTGACCGGAAGTCCCCCTTTCATCTCAAAATGGCCGCGTCGAATCTGTAAGAAGCAAGGAATTTTTCTAGGCTGCTGACCACTGAATATTTGTCAAACAACTCCGACGATATCACGAAGCGAACTTTTTTGACGAAACTTTTTAGGCTTCCCGGTGACTCGCGGATACTTTTTTATTGGCTTTCGGCGAAGCTGTGCCTTGTTAGGTGCATACCAACAGTGTGATCTTGAATGAACACGGAACGTCATCAGCTTGTTTTTGCCAGCAGATAGACTCAGCCAAAATTTGCCCGTTCTGTTTAATTGCATTACATTAAATCCAGATTGCCTATGACTTAAAAAAAATGAGTAACCAAAAATATTTAAAAAAACTTCTCTTAGACCATTTCAATAATCTATTTTATTTCTCTTATTTCCAGGCAAGCTGTACGCAGCGCTGGGTCGTCGCGGTGGTCGTGTAGTAGGCAGTGACCTGCAGAGTGGCTCCGCATCATTCAGGGTACAGGCTCTACTGCCCGTCGCTGAGAGCTTCAAGTTTGCACTGGAGTTGAGGACTCACACGTCTGGACTCGCTGCTCCTCAGATGTTGTTCAGTCATTGGGAGGTTAGTATCATAATAATGTATAGCGTTGTCAGGTACAAATATATACAATAGGTAATGCAAACGGAGAAAGGATGACCATTCTTCACATTCTTCTTGTTTGCTAGAAAAATGTTACCAATGCGATAATGATGAAAAATCTTAATGAAACTACAAACCAAAGCTTAGCACTGTCTAAATCTGATACAGCCAATGCAACGTGGCGTTTAAAACTCTGTCCTAGCTTACTTAAAAATTCGTGTTGGGTAGCAGCTGCAATACAGATTCCCAAATCAATTTATTGCTCAACTAAGCCAAGTAATCTACCCAATATTGTAAATACATATGTATAAAACACTAAACACCCAAATGCTCTTTCCAGGTGATTGACATCGATCCATTCTGGAAGCCGCGTACTGAGGAGGAGTACTTGCATTGGGGAGAGAAATGGGACGGAGTGAACAGAGCCAAGGCCTACATGGATTCAGTCAGGGCTCGCAAGGGGCTGGCTACGGACAAACAGCTTGTACAACACGCTGAGAAACAGAGAACACTGTCTAAAAACAAATAAGGTCCAATTCCCTCCTCTTCCTCACCAAAGTCCTGGTAATATACTTGTAATTGTAACTCCTTTGGTATACAACTTTCAATATGCGTCGCCGATTGTTTACCATCAGGTATACATCTGCTTGTTTGCCTGTTCATCCCATAGAAATGTACCAGTATAATCGCCTGTAATGCCTTAATTAAAGAATTACTTCAGAATTATCAATGCAAATTATATTTAGAGCTCATGTTAATAAGTAACTGAAGCTGAATGATCAATACAAATAGTATCTATTTAAAAAAGTATCTAATTCAGTAATGACTTTTATGCCTTGCTAATGATAATGGTTGGTTGTCATCATCGTTAGAATATGAATGTATGAAGTTTTAATAAAAAATGTTACCGTCCCATAAGCCCATACTTTCATGGATTTTGTTAACATCGAATTTATGTATCAAATGTCAGCATTATGTATCACTAGATACTGAATTGATATTATGTGATAATTTTAGTTTACATGGCAACTTTTCGATGAATAAGTAAATAAAATAATGAATTATGTTCGTAATATGATATTAAATGAATTATGATTTGATTTCTGTACAGTAAGCATTAAGCAATGCGTGCTTTGAAGGCTAATTCCTACATAACCATTTCGGTATTTAATATACTTGTCACAAATAACAAAGTTTGCAAAGGAATTCTATATTAGGAAAAAATATTGTAATAATTTGTAACGGTACAGCATTTTACATGCGAACTTGTTTACTAAAAATAACTTGTGACGTACGAACGATGACGTCAAATGGAAATCTATTAATAATTTGAAATACTCTAAATGTTTGATTATACTTGCTATGGAAATGTTAACCTTAATAGCGAATTTATTAAGCTGGCTTAGCTAATTTGTTTTATAGTTGATGGTTGTTATTACGAATGAATTTATTGTAATTATTTTCGTTTTACATCGTTTCTGTTCTAAAATAAATACTTTTACATAGTGTAGGAGCCGTTGAACTAGAAAAAGGTAATGATTATTTCGTAATCTAAAATTAAACAGTGAATAAAAATAGCTAGTACCGCACTGAAATAGTATTTATATACTTTCATACCACATACACATTAAATCACGAATTCAATTTCCATTATGATAAAATACATTACTTTTAGTGCCAAAAAATTTTGTATTTGTATCAAAATTATCTTTAAAATTACTTGTAAGGTATTCATTTATGTACACACGGCCACACATCAATCTGTACAAAACCAGTTTATCCTGGGGTTGCGTCGCATCATCTTTCCGCACATTTTACGTTCAGTTTATACTGGTTATGTAAAGCTCGATGTGTAGCCGTGTGTACTACATTATTAATTAATGAATGTTAGGAACTCATATCGGCTGATTTCTTTCTACATTGACATATTAACATAATAAGATTACCTCTTTCATTATTATTTTATTTCATTGTTGTCCTAATAAATTTTAAGTGATAGTATACTTTAGGTACTTGTTAGAAATTAAATATGATTAAATTCGTTGTGTATGAAATAAATAGATACTTATATCGAAGTAGAACTTTGTAGATATAAATACATAGTATTTATTATGAACAGTTGTCTTACAAATTGTATTTAATGTACTTTTCATACTCGTATTTTTAATATAATGATAGAAAAATATATTTTGTGTTTTATTGTATTTAACCATCTCAGATTTATTTGCCCACATTAATACATTCTCGTCGAATAAGTGTACTTCAAAGTAGTCATCTTCATATATTTGCTTATCTAGTCGATGTAAGGTGACACTTACCTTTTAATACAATTAACAGATTAGCGAGGGGCGTCCCATCCTACGCCAAGGTCACTTGGGAAAACCTCGGGTAGGATAGTTTGGACGGATAATATCCATGACCGCTTGAAAATCTTAATTTTGTAATATCTCTGAATCTAGAAGTCTTAGTTAAAAATAACGAAATTTTCGTCACCATACACACGCTCTCGGCAAAATATATTTTTTAATTGAAGGACGGGGTGGAAGTGGCCTTGGGCTGGGGTAGGCTCAATTATAAAATCTCAAACACATGTTGGTGAGTCCGAATACTAATTTTCGATGGTAAGATAATTTTTCTTGAATTTATATGTGAAGAGCACACAACGTGTACACACACTAGGGTACGACAGACAGACAGCTTCATTTTTGACCGTATATAACACATTATAGTGAGGGAGCCACTACTTAATAAGATAGTGATGAGACATGTAACATCTCTCTTCTTAAATAGAAAACAATTAATACTTAATATTAAGAATCTTGTTCTAGTGTTCGATGGTTGATGCGTTTGTAATTCAGAAAAGTCATAAATTGATGAAAAGTCAGTGGACTGTCGGTTACTTCTACATACGTTATATATTTAATTTTTGTTTTCTATTCTGTGTGAGAATCGAACTCACATAAATTGCGCCATAATCCACTCGGCGATTTCGACCATCGACCATCAGCTATAACAATGTTGTCTAGGTATAGATAAAGGATTAAAATAAAACCACTATTCATGTTCAATTAACTCATCTATCTATTATTTACAAAATCAACAAACAAATCACAATTTCAAACAAAAATATACAAAACAAACTTTGAAATCATACAACATACGCGTCCATAACAATTCCTATGTGGTACAACTTAAACATCACTAATAAATCAGTTCTATCACCCTTTGATACAATTACGCTATTACAAACTGACTTTTCATATAATATACATAAAAATTTAGCTTTATATCAACGTCGGATTAGTATAATTCTATTTCCACAAGCTTATAATTCATAATATAAAGTGCATTATGATGTTTTACTGAGCTATCACTAAACTCTTTATAACGAAAATAAATAATCTTGTTCGTCAAAACAATTTGATGAAACATCAGCTACATCTCACTGGATACTCGATATTGCACCGGATAAACATTAAAAAATTACGTAAAATAATTATATTTACATGAATATAATTCAAATGAACAGCACGATCCTACCTAAGGACTAACTATTGTACAAACCTCACTATTCTACATTGATATTTTGTTTTAATCTAGTGTTTTTGTCTTTGGCAATATTCATTTCTGATAAATGACTCGTTATAGCGTGGACAGCCTTCAATAACACGAAATTGTGGAGCAAGTGTACATCTACAACTTTAGGATATTTTGAAGCGATTTAGTTGCAACAATGAATTCCTTTTATTGACTGTTAGTGACTTGGTTAGCCTAAGTCGGTTAATCTTTAAGCATATAATATATTGGGTAGAAGTGACATTATGTATTAAACTTAAAGTTTATAATCTAGTACATGAAGATATACGCGTAAAAATAATGTAATACAGTTCAATTTCGCATGACTAAATTAACTAAAAGATATACTTTCTTTAAACACATTGTTTAATCTATTAGTTACATGTAAAATCATTCGTAATTGGAACTAGCTGACCATTATCTAGCAATTTTCCGAATTTTCCTCTTCAGAAGTACCTATTTAGGACTTCAATGAATAATTGAAAAATAAATTGCCGTATTGGTCCAGTCGTTATGACTTTAGCGCTAGTAATAATATTAAACGATTCAATTTAGTTGCAAATATTTTTAAATAGACCTTATTGGCTGTTAAATCATGTACTAGAATTATAATCAAGTTACAGCATCCCTTCTACCCTCTATAAAGGCCTAACTTGTCATTTGGAATACAAACAGTGGTGGAACACTTTGGCACAGATGGTAACCTAGTACGACATTAGGCCCTTATTACGTAACATATAAACAACAGCCAATTAACCTAGGTGACGCGATACAACGAACATATTTGTACATAAATACATCGAGTGAATAGTTCGAGGAATAATTAGCTAGCATCATCTAATCTTGTGGAGCAATGTGCTAAAAAATTATCATACACCATTCCCTAAACTGACCAGTACAAAATAAAGTAATTGGAACTACAATAAATAAGAATGTGTCATATATTTATTTATATATATTTATATAACACTTAATTGCACAAACTTTACAAGTGCCCGTAACATAATTCCACATTTACATTAGTTTTAAAATCATCCTAAGTACATACTAACCCCAATAGAACCGAATAACAAATCCTTGAGCTTGACCAAAGACTAGAATAATAAATTATTAATTACATAAACTTTACAAGTAGTTACTACAAACGACACTATTTTAAAATTAAAATGTCCAAAACTCGCCTTCATTCTGCATGATTGTATTTCATTAAAAACGTTAGCTTCACTAAAATCATACTAAATCTCAAACCTAATACTTCTTGCATCGATAAAAATGTAAAAAATCCGTATCAATTATTTCATTACGTATGTTTATACTAATTACTTATTGTCGAAATAGCAGTTTGCGATATTTGTTACAATTTTGTGTAAAGGAATTTGTAGTGTTTGGAATCGATACAGAAATATTAGGTGCACAATAATATTGCGTCTACAGAGTGTGTCATTGTATTGGCAAGAAATATTACGAAACTATTTGGCAATAAATGTATGAAGCGAGCATTGGGCCCGTGAGACGCACTCCACTCTCGACACATACTGTGGATACTTTCTCGTACGAGGAATGTTGCTTTACAATAACTCCTTATCTAATACTAGCACCTGCCTTCTGACACTATCACATTCACAATTGTATACTCTCCATTGAAACCGCGCTACACTTACTGTGTCACATTCAATATTTCATGATTCACTTCATAAATACATACGTATTTTAAAATTTACATAAAGTAATCCGACGTGGGTATGACGTCAAAACGTTCATCTTACATTAAAATATGCAGCAATACAGGAATAAACAGCAACATTGACTTATAATATTCGTTCCCCACAAAGACTAAGCACATACAATTTTAATGTGTTACACGAATATATTGAAGTTTGCAAAGATATAGAATTGTGATTATGAAAATATCTATCAAGAAGCCGAGACGAAGGAACGCGAAGAATGTTGACATTCATTTTATTACAATTAAAATGCAGAGCACATTTATAGAGAAAATTGTGCGGTAATATGAAATGAGATAGTTATAAATGCCATTTATACCAAAGAACAGATTAGAAACGTTCTGTAAGATAAACAATATCTCATACGATTACAGAGTGTACTTATAAAACGTGTTTGCAAGGAATTCGTCCATTCATCTCGACCACGCATCTTAAATCCTAGTACGTTTGTGTTTGACACAAATTAATATGACATAGCAATGCCTTATAGACATCACGGCTTACTGCCGCTGTATATACAAATCACATACATGATAATATATGAAGAAGTTACATTTTTTATCGTTTAACTTTTACTATATTGCTGATACGTTGTTCAAAGAGGTAGTCAAAGGTGTCGTGAAGACGAAAATCAACTTAAATATTTTTTTAAATGTCTGATTTATTAATTTTGACAATCTTACTCATTTTCATTTCATCAAGTTTCATTAATCCTTCTTGAAAAAAAAATGTACGATATTAGCAACATAGTAAAAGTCGAACAAAAAGCAAAATATTTCAGCAAGAACATAATTTAATATTAAGAACTTGATTCCATTAAAACAACGATGCATTAACAAAAACATCTAAAATATAGACATGTGAAGACGCGAATATTATTTGGTATATATCATGATTACACTTTTTATAAAACATATTCAACAATGAAGCGAACATTTAAATTACGATAAAATGCATAAGTTATATAATAAAAATTATAAATTCGGGTCCAGAGCCGTACTATCCCTTAAAGCAAACTAGTCAAGTGCATAGGGCCCCAGGTTATAAGAGGGGCGCCGCGAGACGCCCGTACCCAACTGCTCATAAGGGCATGAAGTGCTTGCTTGCCCAGGGTACTCTCTAGGTTTGATCCGGCTCTGTTAGGGTCCAATATTAACAAATAATTGTTACAAGTGCATAGAACAGGGAAATGTGTCACTAAATAACCACATAATACCTATACACTTTGTGGGTACTGTCATATACTTAGACAATTAGTTCTTAAATATTTGGACACCTATATTACACGTTTCCTCACAATATAATAAATTCAACATACATATTATATTTCTTTGTCGCTTCATAGAGGTTCATTGTTCTTTGAGACCAAAAATGGCGGATTTTTATCCGCGACTACTTTAAAACTGAATAATTGCATAAATAAATAAAAACTAGTATCACTTCCGTCTCACTGAGACATGGAAAAGCGTTTCCTTGTCGGATTGCAGCACAGCTGTCGAACTAAATACAATAATTTCCTCGAGAGATATCCACGTAGTGATAACCCTAGCAAGCGCTAACAGTAACAAGTTACTATAGCATGAAGTGTACTTAGGGTTGTCGATTCTCGGATATTTTGTGGATATCTCGGATACTTTATAAATGCATCTATCTGTATACTTTTATTTTCGGATATCTACGACAACCCTAAGTTTGCTTCATTACAATGCTGTATAATCTGGTCACCTGGGTCTTCAGTCCCATTGGTCGCTCGCTAACTGAACAGGGTCTCGTTGGGCACGTCTAGGTTTAGGTCCATGTTGAGATCCATGGTGCCTGATTGAGCCATATCGGTTAGTATCACGCCCGATAGCGCTTCTAAGGATTGTCTGACCTGGAAATAAAGATAATTGTTATTATGAAGTTTTATTATACTCCCGAAAAATACAAAAGAGTAACAATGGAGTGTTTTGCTCGTTCTTATTCATTCGAAACTACACTTTGGAATGAGCGCCTAGCTTTACTGACAGACAGCAGGACGAACAATTCAATTTTTGACCTTTCAAAAGTGACAAACTAAGTATTAATTGAAGTAAATGCTTTGACTTTGACTCTATATTTGTCTTTATAATGACAGTACAGTAGAGTACATTCATTACTTTTATTCTTCAGGCGGGATTATAAGAGCCGATAAAGTGACTACACAATTGAGTACTTGCATCAAAAATAAATTATTGCGTCTGTTCAATACAATAAAATATTAAAAAATAATCACACTCTTATTAATTGATTCTATGACCAACTTAATTTTAGTATATTTTCAGCAAGTAATAAGTATGCTGTTTGACGCTAAAAAAACGTGACGTCACAATACACAATCTCACACAAAGTTCAAAATAAGTATTGAAATTGACTAGTTGGCAAGTACCCAATTGACAGGGATTAGGTGTAAGAGCTATCTGATAAACGTGAACTTTTTAACCTTCATGTAGGTAAAAGAGGTTTAAATTTTGCAAAAGTATCTTTACGGAATGATTAGTTTATAATTAAAAACTAACTGCAATATCAAGTTATAGTTCCTTTTTTCAATAAATCCTTTTTTTACACAAAATATGACACTTAAACACAAAACACCCATAACAGTGGACAGTAAAATAGACCATTACCATATAAATCTCAAAAACCGACAACCCAACATAGACATTAACTAAGAAAACATAAGGTAGAAATTAGAATATAGTTTGTATGGAATACGTACTGAATAAATTACCTTAGTTAGTAACAATAGGTTGGTGGTTAGGAATGAGTGAAGTTCGTTCGCGGCCCGTCCGTGCAACCGCGCTCGCCATCGGACCAACTCCGAGTACAACTCCTCGCCCGATAATTTTACTATTTCCTCCTGAAATCATAAAAGCATCTGATAAGTACCATGGACGACTGTAATATTCTTAGAGAAAGGTATGTATAAGCGTTTCAATAATAAGCGTTTCATGGACATTTTTATTGTCATGTATTTTTCACAGCTTTAAAAGTTAACACGGTAGAAATCTGTTCGATTACCATGCCCCCTAATATTTTTTCAACTTCTCATCTTATACGTGAATATTTCAACGAAAATATTGGTACAGATCTTTATGATGACAAATAAACATGACTGCCACGTTGGCTGAATGGTCGCAAGTGCGACTGCCGGGCAAGAGGTCTCGGGTTCGATTCCCAGGTCGGACAGTGTACTATAGGGATTTAAAAAAAAATCTCAGTATGAACACGGAGTCTGGACATGTACCCGGTATATGGCAATAGGCACACCCCCCATTACATGGGACTCATAACATAAATAGTGGAAAGCGGGTGTTACATTGTACTGTGGCATTAAGTACCTTAATGTGCACCTCTGCCTACCCCGTCGGGATAAAAGGCGTGATATTATGTTATGTGAAATAAACATGAATTTTCGTGAAAATTATCACTAAAAGGATGAAAACTGTTTTATTTCATCATAACATGAACGAACTTAAACTTCCCACTAACTAAAACAAACTAAATCGTAGATTTAACATACCTGTGACTGGTAAGAAGCTTGATACAATTTGTAAGCAAGTACAACGGCTGTGAATGTGAGGAAGGCGGCGAGTATGGCGAGTAGAGGGCGCCACCATCGCCCCGCCGTCCGCGTCGTGCCCGCGCTGCCCGTCAGTAGCGCTGGTTGAATTACTGCCGCGCCGCCCGCTGTAATCGAAAGAAATTAGTTAGACAAGTATTGACAATGATACTTGACGACTCAAAGTAGATATAAAACTTGATAATTTCTTTAACCACCACAGTCAGCTGTAGATGATCAATACTGGACCCATCCGCCACAGACGGCCATTGCCGACAATGTAACGTCATTTCATTTTAAGTACGTTTTGTTTGTAGTTTATAAGCAACCATGGCTCTCAAAAACCTGTATAGGACTAGGCACTATTACTTTTCTTTTGTCATTGGTGCATTTATAAATACCTAAAGCAGGCAGTAATGTAAATAACAGAGTAAAACTATGAGCTAACTGAATATTTATAATTACTACACGCTACTTCCGCTCGGTTTCACACGCTCTGATCAGCTCCTATTGGTCGTAGAGCGATGTTTTATAGCCTATAACCATCCTCGATAAATGCACTATCCAATACAAAAAGAATTATTCAAATCAGACTTGTAGTTACGGAGATTAGCGCGTTCAAACAAACAAACAAAAATTCCGCTTAATATAATAGTATAAGATAAGATTAACACTCATTAGTCGTAACAAAAGGGATTATAGCCAAATTATGACAAAAATGAAAGTAAACTCTATTTAATAATATCTGGAAAGTTGATTTCCGCATGGTAACTTACCTGCAGCTATAATAGCTTCAGACTCTCGTCTGACAGGCGGTGAGGCGGCATCAGGTTGGTCGCCGCCCGCAGAACTACTGTCATCTTCAGGCGAATACTCTGATACTTCTAATTCTACTTCTGATGCTCGGAGGTCCTGGAATTGAAGATGTAAGAAATAAATTAAAGACTAAAGTGTGTTCAAGGCCCGAGTGAATAGGTTGCTTATGGGTCGACGTGCTACATCATAGGCCACATCATCGCTTATGCTAGATAGTGGTCAAACGTCAGTCCCATCTAATATTTAAAAAAAAATCACTAATGGGAAACTAGAGGTAGACAAAAGGAGTTGCGATGTATAAATAAGGAGCAAGCTCTATTGTTGACGCATGAATTCATTTCCAAATTGCGAACTTAAATACTAATTAATGTTTAACCGACCCGAAATTCAAACCTCTCATGCAACTGGAACTTCCTAAGAAAATAACATCCCAAAATTTAAAAATATCATCATCAACATCAATTCGCTTTTTCGTCCTCAGAAATGGGATGATTCTAGAGCTCCAGGCTAATATTCATTTATTTTATTCTGTTTACTGGCTTTTACTCGCGACTTGGCTCGCGTCACAAAAGGATAAAAAGTAGCCTATGTGACATATACCAATACATAACTTTATATAGTTATACATAACTAGCTTTTACCCGCGGCTTCGCTCGCGTCACTAAAAGATAAAAAGTAGCCTATGTGACATATACCAATACATACAGCGCCATCTATACCATTACTTTTGTTTTCCCTCGGAAATATGAAATTTTTCCGGGATAAAAAGTACCCTATTATTTAATCCGGACTTCTAACTTTACGTCTGCAAAAATTCAAAGCAATCGGTTTAGTAGTTACGGCGTGAAGGCGGAACAAACCAACAAACAAACAAACTCACTTTCCGATTTATAATATTAGTAAGGATTGAAGCATAATCATACCTGTGGTTTAGGGACAGCTTGTTCGGGTGCTCTGGCGGCCTTCCATACGTGCATCATCAGCTTATAGGTGGAATCCCGCGAGAGCAGGGACCCGAACACGTGCCTCTCATCGCGAGTGCACACACCGACTGCATTCGGGATTATACGGGCTACCTTCTCCTTTGTTATCCGGAGTACTGATATTATCGGGATAAGTAACTGGAAAGAAATTATCATTATTGTATATAAAAAAAACATTAAATTTCATTCATACATTGCATACACTTAGTGTGCGAACTTATATATTCCAATTTCATGTTACTTATTCCCTGTTAGTTTTCTGTGTATAATTGTTTAATTTTAATTTTATTTCTTTTTATTTATTTTTATAAACTTATGTTTGGTTGATGTCATTGGTATAGTAACTATACCAATGACATCCTATACTATACTAGAGTAGGATCGCCTACCACAAGCATACTCTTGCTTAAAAAGTATTTTTCCTAATATTTTGTTGGTATGTACATAATAGTTGATGAAATAAATTATTTAAAAAAAAAACGTTGCCTCACACTAGGATTTTCTCCTGTGTCGTGGGTGCGTTTACAAACATACAAGTTCACATACACATCACACCCAGACCCGGAACAACAATCTGTGGATCACACAAATAGTTGTTCCGTGCGAGAATCGAACCCGCGACACGTTGCGCGGCAGCCAGTTGCCCAACCACCACGCCAACCGTGCAGTCAAAAAACTTAAAAAAAAATAAACTAAAAATTGATTAGCCTTTCAATATTGGGACGTAAGTGTTAACCTTTATTTTTTAGCTACCCTGATGATTGGTCAGAGCTAACTTCTAGCTTATACTAATACCTAGCAAGCGATCAAGTTATGACTTTAACTGTTTTTAATCAACCGAATGAGGTAAAATACCGCAAACGAGTTACGCGAGTTATTAATAAAATATATGTTATAAAAATATATTTCTTTTTCCTTAGCAATTCTTACCAATATTAGCATTCTTTATAATATTTATGTTATATCGAAACTATTATAAATACAATAGGAGGTAAATGACAGTGTTATTGGCATTTTTCAAGTGTGGTTGCCGGGCATAAAGAATACTTAGTACCTATACAAAACTTAAAAAAAATGAAATTCTTAGCATAGGCATACAAATGATGTAAAGAGCTTACTATAAGAACCCGCCTGAGCCTATTTATAACCAGCGATGTTACGTTTCTATGTAAATATGCATAATTTCAGTAACACACTGATTCGAAATCATATAATTAATTTAGAAGACTTCACAACCCATAAAATCTAGCTTCTAACAAACCACTTCTTACCACACGATTAGCAACTTATTTTTAGTCTATTTAAAGTCTAATACGACTAAGCAATAGTGCCAAACGACATAGATTTGACAAATCACATCTTGCCACACGATTAGCAAGATAATTACAATCAGTTTAAGGTCTAAAATAGCTATGCAACACAGAGTTAGGTGGCAATTTAAAACGACTTCACAACCCATAACACCTAGCTTCTAGTGAACGACATCTTACCACACGATTAGCAACATAATTACAATATATTTAAGGTCTTAAATAGCTATGCAACATAGAGGTATATAGAGTTGCTCACCTTGGTCACATATCCGAACACATTGGAGTAGAAAGCGAAGTAGTTCTTGGTGATGTACAGATGACCTTGCAATAGCAGATCACCGACTAGGGCACACGAATAATCTGAAATAGAAAGAACAAAAATAATTAAAAATATACCCTAAGTTACGACACACAAAGCATCTTTTAGTTTACCCGGTTCAAAGTATTGAGATAGATTTTCCTAAGAAGAAAAATTAATCGAGATAATATCCTATGTTATTAGAAATAAGGTACATTTTTGTTCCGGTTTGGAATTTTGATGTTTTAACTATTTCTTGATGGTTTTAGTGTAATCATTTCACTGTTCATTTATAATTAAAACAGTGAGTCTTATACTCATGATATAATTCCGGATGCCTCGAGCACCACAGAATTAGGTAACTGAAATTTTTAAGTGAGGAAAGTTCTGTATATAAGATTTCTTTCTAAACAAGGGATTATTAGTAATGGTTTTATAGGGTTACCCACCATTTACTTCATTTACATGGAAGCTGTTTATAATTCATACTGTACATGATAAAAGTATTTTAACAATCTAGTTCAGAATATGCTCTCCGTTTTAAAAAAAAACACGATTATTTTCACAATTCATGTGTAAATTATCCACGAATAGATTTAATAATATAAAATACCAAACACTAATTAAATCTCCCTTGTTTTCTTTGCATAGAAACGAAAATAAACGTAATCAGTTTCGACCCCAAACAAGGTCACTCCTGTCATAAGTATATCTAAACAAAGAAGCAATCTAACCCTGCACAAGACTACTTCAAAACTTTCCACTAAACCGAGGTCACATTGGGGTACACTAGACCTCAAACTTTGTATATATAACCCACATTATAAGTTATATCGTGACCTTATTTGCTTAGGAACCTGTTTGAAAATAATTAGTTTTGTGCCCCGAAAATTCTTCGTAATATTATTGTAGAATGTTCCATTTCATATTATTTTATTCGTAAGTAGGTACTTATTAAATAGGTTTTATATGAAGTTTGTTTTCATTTCAAGTTTTTATAACAAAACCACGTGTATGTGGTACATGTACTTGATCAATTACATCATTTGTGAACTATAACCTATATTTATGTTATACCTTTTGTGAGACATAGTAAATTAATTATTAGGTTTTCGGCTTACTCACGTAACCATTTGACGAGGAACTCGACTAGTTTCAAGCCATGCTAGAGGCTCATATTCATAAGCAGCATTCCGCGACCTATATCGTAGGTATGTCTAGTAAACAATAATTTCTGATAGTTACATGTGCATTTCGATGAATTTTAAGTTATGAAAATCATACATACTTCGATACAGGCAATATAGACAATTTAAATGCTAATTTTTAATTCTATTTATAAACTCTATCTGTTAGTTGTATATTAACTATGCCTTAACCTCGACTGAATCTTGATTATATTGCACAAGTGTCGTGTTTGAATGTTCTTTATAAAAATTACTTACAGAACTACGTAGGCATCTTAGGAAATTGATTTCTTAAGTCGAGTAAAATACTAGAGAGGGTCATTTTAGTTAGCTAAATCCGAACAAATCATTCCGACTTAAATATTTGGTATGTAGCCAAACTAAAGGAAAAATGCCTCGACTGCCTTGTTGGCCGAGTGGTCGCAAGTGCGACTGCTGAGCAAGGGGTCTCGGGTTCGATTCCTGGTTCGGCCAAGTATTACTAGGTTTAAAAAATATCTCAGTATTAGCACGGAGTCCGGACATGTCCCCATGGCAATAGGCTCACCCCCTAATACATGAGACTCATAACATAAATAGTGAAATGTGGATGTTACATTGTACAGTGGCATTAAGAGCCGTAATGTGCACCTCTGCCTACGCCTTCAGGGATAAAAGGCGTTATGTTACGTTAATCTTCATAGCCCATTAACCTATTTCCAAAAAGTTAATTAAAGACTATATTATCTACTCCTGTTTTGTGGCCAGATCCCGTAACTAAGTCCAAAACATATGTAAAGAGGTCATATATCAGGGTTCACAAACACGAGATTGACGAGAGGGTTCAACGACTTCCCTCTTTAGTGATGTCATACTCTGAATTTCATATTTCGATAATCTAGGACGAGGACTATTGACTTTGAAATAGTATTCAGAAATACTGCTAACTTCTTACGTCACGTCAATAACCTCGTTTTAGCAAATGGCTAACAGGAAAATCTAAATAATTCCTTATATGTTTTACAGGAAGACTGATATTGGAAAAACTGTATTCGAAAACTGCGTGTGCTACGTACGTGTTTTACTTATCAAAGTATTTACACGGTGACTCAAACCTTTAGGTATCAATGAAGTGCAAAAGTGATTTTAAGATTAAACAACCAACTTTTAATCAATGAAAATAAAAAAAATGTTTAAGGAAAGTCACACTTATTGGTATACTATCGACATGTAATGCAGTTGTTTGTATACAATTACTATATGTACTATAGAATAATTAATAAAAATATTATCCAATAAAAAAAAACTATATTACTACATAGAAGATCGATACCACCGGTGATTATAAGCGCTCAACAAAAATAATAATCAGTAATTTAATCCTCTAGTCAGAGGCCTATTTGTTATTACGTTTAAAGTAATCTGCCGGGCACCTTGCCCGGCAGATTACTTTAAACTTTTTTCGAATCGACACCGAGACCCCTTGGTCTCGGTGTCGATTCCCGGGTCGGGCAAAGTATTACTGGGTTTTTTATAAATTCTCTAATGTGCCCGGTATATGGCAATAGGCTCACCCCCTAATTACGTGGGACTCATAACATAAATAGTGAAATGTTGGTGTTACATTGTAAAGTGGCATTAACGTCCAGTTTCTATAACCTATCTATCTGTAGATTTATGCTTACTAGAGATAGAATTTTGATACATTTTGTATGGAGCTCATGTCAGATAGATAGGTTATAGAAACTGGATGTAAGTGCATACATGTGCACCTCTACCTACCCTTTCGGGGATAATAAGACGTGATATTATGTTATGTTTAAAGTAATCGAAACAAGACCGCGTTCAGGGCTCTGATTGGTTGGTTCATTGGAGCCGGCCAATGAGAGCGCCGAACGCGGTCTCGTTTTGAATATGTTAAACGTAAAAGAAACTTGTATAAGGCGCTCTGCTCTAACCTTTACCTAGACAATAGTTTCATAAATCATGACCGAAATCGCTACCAGACGGTAGGTGATGAAACTGCTATTATTCTAAATCGCTGGCACTTAGCCTTGCAATAGTATCATTATCTTTTGACGTACTGTAATCAAGTCTATTCTGTGGCAGCACTAACTTTCTAACGAGAGCTTTGTGGAAACCACAATAAAATGATGAGAATGACGCCTTTCACTTAATATTTTCAGATCTAGATAAAACAATGTGAGTTATCTTATAACTTTTTCGCTGTTCATAGTTGGCGCCACTGTCGATTAATGTCTTGTTGCGTTAGTTTATACTAGTTTAATACCCAGAAAACTATATTTTTCTAGTCAAACTAATCGTCAAAAGTACTACTGTTATTAATTAAGAAAACCGCGATAAAGATAAGAAAAACTAGTGATACTCCGTATTTTTATCTTAAGCAAAGAAGATAACGTTTATACGCCGCAATAAAAGCTTTTAAGTCCTCCTAATCTGTTATAGCTCCTAAATAATAATAAAATTCCTTGTTATGAAAGAGCCGAAACGAATATTAAAGATTTCGAAGTTTTAAAACGATTTCAAATTCCATTTCGATTACTGGGGGATTATGGCGGAGTGGAACTCTCAAACAAGTCGATTACTTGGAGTACACATAAACACAGAATCGGATAGCGATAACGCTAACTTTCGCAATCAAAACTTTATACTAGCTATTCTAACTTCTATTATACTAAAGAAAATTTTATTCGTCTTACTGTCTGATTTGTCTTTGGTCAGTAAAGAGTTAAACAGATATTTTCAGTTTTCGGAAAATCTCAGCGTAGCGCAGAATCAGATATAAGTATGACACGCTTTAAAAAGGGATTTAAAAAAAAACGTTGGATTTTCTGCACATTAGGATTTTCTCCTGTGTCGTGGGTGCGTTTACAAACATACAAGTTCACACACACATGACACCCAGACCCGGAACAACAATTTGTGGATCGCACAAAGAATTGCTCCGTGCGGAAATCGAACCGATTTATAACATAATTGGCGAAAAACTAACGTTAAAAAGAGGAAGACAAAAGATGTTGCATCTTTTGTCTTCCTCTGCTTTGGGTCATTTCAAATGGACTAAATTAGATACTATATTTAAAATAATTTTCTTTGAAAAACTTACAATTGAGCACCTTCTCTTCAGGCCCTACTTGAGGAAAGTGCCTTTGGAATTTTTTCTGCCGTGACTTGCTCGGTTGCTTGCCATCGGTTGTATCACCGGTACCCGTCGCACTAGGAGGTGGAGCGCGCACGGACGGCGCTGAACCCGACAAAGGCTTTATGGCTTGTCTGGAAAGAAAAAGAATACATTTAATACAGTACTCAATTGAAGATAGTTAATCGATACGAGATTAAATAACAGATTAGAATCTATATGTATAGGGAGGGACTCTGTGGTGGTTTATAAATGCCTAGTTCAACTTACAATGGGACAGAATCGGACTTTATGTACGTAGGCTTGTAGGTACATCATTATAGAATTCGATATTTTCCTGCCGCGTAGTAAATACTTATGATAAGCTATCGGTCATTATAAATAACAAACAATTCCTAACAAAGAAACGAGAATGGGATAAGAAACATGCATGTATGTGTGTCAAATGTTATAAGAACATCAAAACATAAGATACTTATCCTTTACTTTACCAACAGAACGAAAACTAGAAATCTCCATATCAATAATAGATATTGCTTTCTGCCTTCGGCATTACCATATAGGTTCAATGACAAAATCACTAGAGGAAAACACGACTTTCTATTTTGTTCAAACAATATTCATGTCCTTTGATAATAAAATAAGATAGAACTGACATAAATAAGAAATCCTTCAACTAAAGAAACTTACAAGGTAAATGTTACAATGAGACTATACATTAACGTTTAAATTATAGCCGTTATAGGCTAATAGGTAATCACATGACATGTTATTGTACATTAGGTACTATATCCATAACCCATAATTAGTTTTATGAATGCTTCGTGTGTATACATTAATCCAGATGACATGACTGGGGTGTAAGAATAAAAATATTCATTGATTTCGTCAAACAGGGAAATTACTTTGGGGTCATAGTGCAGTAGATTTATTGTTATGGGATAGAAGCAAATTTTAAGCAAGTCCCATTATGTACCATGGGACTTGTATATCTGGAACTGGAATTACCTGAGGCACTCTTTAAAATTGCTATGCTGAGGCACTCTTTAAAATTGGTATTGTTAATTATAAAAAAAGGACTTGCAAGCTTTTAAACTCTCCATAGTCTCGCCTGTGATACAGGACATTCTTCCTAGTACAGGCATTCAAACCTAGTAAGATCTCTGATTTTAAATTAAGATGTTTATCTGTACTATGACCAATTTCTTATAATGAATAAAGATTTATTTTTATTTAGTAGGTACCTGATATACTACAAGAGGCGTTGCACGGGAGACATAAAACCTTAACGACTGCTCTATTTGTTTAATACGCTCTATAATTCTATTGTAATTACCTTTTCACAGAAAAAGAATAACAATTATACCCCTAAATAAAACTATTTAGAAAAAACCATGCAATCCTAATTAAATCAACGCTAGCCCAATAAACCCGTCCCATTTCCTGAAGCTTTGAGCTTTACGACTACTAAATAGCGTAACATTATGGTAATTCGGTTACGATACAAATGTTTTACGATACACGAAACGACCCCTTAAACCTATTATTATAAATTACCGCTAAAACAAAGTCAGTGGGTAAATCAAAATAGTGCGTGAAACGTAATCCATTCCTTTACAATTCGGTTTCTGTATGTTTATATATATATATATATGTGACCGAACTAGCGTCGAAGCCCTATTAGGTCGCTCCCTAAATCTCTCAGAGCGGTCATGCAAGCGATTACTTCTCACCTGGACCTTTGAACGGATACCACAAATGAGGTCAGTGGGTCAAACATTTAATTCTATTTATTCGCCGCGTGAACGAAGCGTCACCTCCTCAAATTCAGTCAGTGATATTATCGTTATTTTACCTAGCTGTCAAAATCAGAAATTATTTTGGACACAAGAAATCCCTTTCATTCTTCAATCGTGGAAATAGTACAAGTGAATCGATTTCCTGCAAATTATGATCAGGGAATGTTATTGAGGACTGCAGTTGATAGCGAGTCTGTTCTCAATGGTCTAATCGTATTAAACAGAATGCATTTAAGGGAATATGTACTTGTCCATAAAAACGTTTTCTTGTATTTTAAGGAGAATGGTATTCAAACCAGAGACATTTTTTAGGTAAGAAAACATTAATTAAATATTAATTTATTAAGAAGATTCAACGGTCCACTAATAATTCCTTAAAACAAATTGTGCCTGTGTTCTCCAATAACAAAAATGTATATAAACAAATAATTAACAACTAAAACAACACAACAATATTCACAAATAAAAAAATAAAAAAGTAAATGCCGGGAAAGTAGGGACGGGACATTTTATTAAATATTTCGTACGGCCAAAAGTGCCGTAATCGCCCGAAAAGGCAAAGTAAAATTTTACTTAAGTACAAAGAATAACCGTTTCCTAAAAGTAAAAGGTCAATGTTCTGGTTGATAGCACTTTTAGCATACTCTAAAGTTTTATAAAAAAAGGTTAAAGATAAACTGGTTCAATATGGCACAGTATAAACACGGAAATGACAAGCATGTCGATAGATTCCACAAAAATAATGACGAAGGGAATTGAAACTAGTTTAATGTCAAGGATAAAACCAAATATTTGGACTAAAATAACACAAGTATCTATAAAAACACATTAATGTTGTTTGACGAGTTACAAGTTATATATTTATCTCTATTAGCCGAAATAGGTAATCACTTGTGGCTTTTAGAGCTGATGGATGGAAAACACGTATTTCATAGCTTTACATACACACATAACACATTTTTTTTTTAGTTTTAAAAAACGTTGCCCCGCCTTAAGATTTTCTCCTGTGTCGTGGGTGCGTTTACAAACGTTTACAAACATACATCACGCCTTTTATCCCCGAGGGGCATGCAGAGGTGCATATTACGGCACTTAATGCCACTGTACAATGTAACACCCACTTTTCACTATTTATGTTATGAGTCCCATGTAATATGGTGTGAGCCGATTGCCATATACCGGGCACAATTCCAGACTCCGTATTACTACTGGGGATTTTTAAAAAACCCAGTAATACTTTGCCGGGAAACGAACCCGAGACACATTGCCCGGAAAAAATGGTCTTTAACTCTACCGGTAACATTTGAGTATTTTCAATAAGAAAAGTAAAATCACAAATAGATTTGGTCTTCACAATACAGCCATAAATCCAAAATGCATACATTTTACATTTGAAAGACAGTTTTTTCATCAATCTGCTCCCTCAGCCAGTTTTTGCAATTGCCTTAACTACTAAATATTCGATGCGCTGTAACGATAACTTTATGTTTTATGTAACAACCATGTTTGTTCCATGCTGTTTCTTAAAGGTCAAGAATGGGTCGGTTTCCTTAAAAATTCATTTCATTTGTTGAAGTTGAACCTACATATTATGCTCTTGTGAGACTACCTACAGCATTATTGCCATTGCACAGAATAATTGAGTCTAAATTATGAGTAATTAAGCCACTTAATTGTGTATGTAATGGCTACAATTTTTTGGTAGAAAGTTGACTTTGCTGTTCTGGCTAAAATTTTCTCTTTCATCTGTTATCTTTATGAAAACAGGCGGTTTCATTATAACACTTGTATAAAATTGGCTAATGACGTTAAATGCCTGATAATTTGCACTGACTTCTAAATCTATAATTACGAAATATGCATGTGTGTGTGCATACAAAAGTAGTGTCTAAACATCGGAAATGAAGTCTATAATGGATTAAGTGGAGAGCGGTAACAGATTGGGTACTCGGCAGTATATGTATATGCGTACTGACAATGTCTACCTTTGCATACTACAGTTATATTACAACTAAATAGGATTATCCAACAACAGTGAACAATTTGGTTCCTAACAAAGTTCATGAAGCCGCAATGTTTCCCATAATGCTATGATTACGGAGCACGTGATGACCCACGGCGCGGCTCACAATTTGCTGCTATGCACGTGACAAGCACATAATAAGCATATTGTTATACGTCACATGGACATCGACGAAAGAATACATTCTCTGTTATGGTGTTTATCTTACACCTTCACCGGTGAGCATTTACGGAGACCACGAACATTTCTTTGCATAATTAGTGGAATGATTGTGCCAAGTCTGCTCGCGGAGTCAACAACCTTATCGTAAGTTATTCAATTGCCAGGAAACGACGCGATATTGTGAACAATTCTCTACATTTTCAACACAATATTTTATTGAAACTAAAAGTAATTTACATCAAGAAATGGGACGATGAAGATTTTTTTAGCTACTCTGTACTAAAGTACGTAATCCACGTCGTGAAAACGTGATTGACCACGTTTGCTTTAGCCTGGTGTGATCAACAAATCGAGTAATCACAATCAGAAGCCGTACACAAACGTGTTGAGTTGAAAGACCTTACTGGTCATGTTACTGCCGTTACTGGCAACATTAATGCCAAACTTCCAAGGTCTTGGTTAAGAATAGAATGCCACTTCCCGCTGCAAATAAATACGTTATTTGAAGAATGGCCGGATTGGTCAGCTGAACAATGGCCTTATTTGGAAAGTTTCGAGTGAATTAATGCGCAAATGTAGAAAGATTAAGGATATCTTACAATAACAATTGTTGATTGAATTGTATACATTTATAAAACTATTAGACAAATTTTGATAAAATAAAATTGTAAATATTAGGCCTTCACCCACATTTTGTAATTACGATCAATTGTGAAAATTGCAAATAGTTATTTTGTTCAATGGCTTTAATACAATTTCCCATACAGATAATGCTTCCAAAACTACGGAAATAATAACTCATGGACTTTGGAAAATAACTCTACTATCTGATATCAATCGCTTCATCTGCAGGTGTTTTAGTAGATAGGTACGATAAAATAGACGTCCTCATATCATACGATACATTATATTTATCTATTCTGATATTTTGGATGGGTCGATGCCGACACCTAATTGTAGGATTATTCAGAAACATTACAGGGTTTTATGAAATCATGTAACAGGTTTTATTGGAAGCCCATAAAGCCGTCCACGTCGAGAAAATCTAGGATTTTCAAAATGTTATTTAGTAAACTTTTCTATTAACAAAAAACCAGAATATTCGAATTATATTTGGAATGTGGTCGTTGTTATTTGTCAATAGGATCGC